CTTTGCAATTTAGGGCTTACTGAGTCCTAGAGTTGGCTAGAATAACAATGAAATTGCGCTAATTTAGCCGATCCCCCGCGATGGTCTACCGCCTCATCGTGGGGCGGGAGTGACTCTAGGTGTCGATCAAAGTATAGCGGAGGTTTATTCTCCAGTAGCGTCTCCCAAGCTGAGAAAGTGTTTAACGTTTCCGGTTCCCCGGATGCCCAGTTAAGAATAGGCCATCCCTGAAGTCCCACCTTCTGGCTGATTGAGTCGCTAGTCCCTAGTCCATAAGCCCTAGCAAGGCTGCTAAGTTTGGGTATTTATTTTACTGCTTGTACAGCATGTAATAGGAAAAGAAGCCCTGCATAGATCGCATCTCCGACGTCGGATGTCATTAAGACCAGTGTCAGGTTGTACAGGATGCCATAGATTTCGGACCAAAAGGACACGTCAACGACTCGCCATGGAGACTGTCTCATGCTATTACCTAGAACGTCAGGACAGTCTCCACCAATGCCGATCTTCATGCGCTTCTCGAAGCTGCAGAGCGCTACAACTATCACGCAATCGCCTTGCAGGAAACAAAGTCAAGGAAGACGGACGTGAGGCAGCTGAGTGATGGCACACTCATCATTTGGTGAGGAAGGTCCCCACGGAACAAAGACGGACGTGAGGCAGCTGAGTGATGGCACACTCATCATTCGTGGTGAGAAAGTTCCATCACGGAACCTTGGGAGGGTTAGATTTGTCGTACATCCGTTTGTTGTCCATCTTGTCGATTCACATGAGATCCTATCACCTCGCCTGGCTATCCTTCGACTAAGTCCTCTGCATCAGAAAACCATTACTATCATCAACTGCTACTCTCCAACATCAGCAGCTGGTGACTCGGAACTTGATGCTTTTTATGAGGATTTGCAGGAAGTCATCCGCAAAGAGAAGTTCTTCTACAAATTCGTCGTGGCTGATTTCAATTCGAAGATTGGGATATCAAAAGAGGGGGAGCATAGAATCGGCAGATTTGGATCAGGACTCCGGAATGAGAATGGTAACCGCCTTGTTGGGCTCTTATCTGCCGCACGTCATGGCAACACCTTCATGTAGAAAGAACTCCGGCGGTGGAGTTTCCCAACGGTACGACTCATGGGGAGATCGACCACATTCTCACCAACCGATGGTGGTGCTTACTAGACGTCTCAGTGTTACCATCCTTCAGCAGCGGGCAAAAGCGCGATTTAGCCGAAAGCTGGAAAAAAGGAAGGACTGCGACCTGCTTCTTAGAGGACGGAAGGCCTGTGGCGAAATGCCTCAAAACCTTAAACGAGGAGCCTGGAACGAATTTTGAAAGCCACCAAGGATCTGCTAGGGAGGAGAAGAGCTCTGAGGCCGATCCGCCTGCATCACATCTCGAGCGACTGGTAGCCAATACCAGTTGCAGAACAGCTTTGTAAGAGGATCTTCGAAAGTACAGGTAATCGAAACTTTTGGAAGCAGCATAGGGAAAGAGTAGTTTAAAGAAGTACCGCAGAGACCTTCTCGATTATCGTGTTCCGCTGACAACATTACTCCTGCTGAGCGTGCTTTGCAAGCTCTTCACGAAGATTATACTCGCTCGCATATCAAGGACACTGGATGAAGTCCAACCCGTAAAATAGCTGGATTTCGCCAGGGAATTAGCTGCGTGGATCACATCCAGACAGTTTCGAGCATCAACGAGGTTGGAGTATCGCCTACCTCTCGTCGTAACCTTCGTTGACTATGATAAGCAATTAACAGCGTCGAGACTAATGCCATACTGCCAGCGCTCGTCGACCTACCGTCCGATATGCCTGCTGAGCGTGGTGGACCCATCTTACGTAAAGACGTTGGCCGACTGCTACAAGAACTGCTCTACAACGGTACAGCTTTTCCATCGCCTCCTTAACATACAACAACATTAATTTCAAAGAGGGTTCGATAATTCGGCACCATGTCGCCAAAGCCGTTTACCGCCGCGTTGCAGTGGGTGTTGAAATCACTGGACTGAAGCGAGAGAAATATACGCGTTGATGGGAGATTCTACTGAACTTCGTTTTGCGGACGACATTGTTCTCTTCTCGAGAAATATCACTGAAGCGGAGACGATGCTGAAAAAACTAAACGAAGTAGGGAAGTAGATAAGACTGCGAATCAACTTGAAGAAGACTCAGTTCATGAAGAACGCTTTTCGTGAGGATCAGGAAATGGAGTTAGAAGGTTCTCCAATCGCGAAGACGTCTTCTTACGTACATTTCGGGCGTTCGATGAACATGGAGAACGATCTGAAAGAAAAACTAAACAGGAGGCAAAGAGCAGCTTGGGCCGACTCGGCCCTTAAAGGGAGCCACAGACCAGCTGAGCTCCGAGCCCACCTGTTCATACAACTGTTCTCCCTGCGCTCTGCTACGCAGCAGAGACGTGGCCTGACACTGCGGCTACGTCAAAGGCTCTTCGAACAACCCACAGAGCGACGTCTTCTGAAGTACAACCGACGCTCTCAACATCTCGTCGGACTTTGCACTTCAGTTATGAGATCAATATCTCGTCTTCGCGATCCAGCGGAATACGTCTCTAAGGCAAAGCATCGATGGGCTGATCATAAAATGAGAAAGACAGACGACAGATGGACACTAAGAACTCTGGAATGCATTCCTCGCGAAGCAAAACGTCCGCACAGGAGGCCATCGACCAGATGGGCTGACGTGTTCGTTCACGGATGGGCCAGCTGAATTCTCAGCTGGTAACGAGTGATGGATCTGGACCTCGCGAACGTCGCCGCCGCAGTTCAATACCAACATCGTGGATGACGCTAGCGAGAGAAATTGGATGAAAACAGTGCTTGCACGACAAGTGAAGACAGGCCATCTAAGTATTTAAGTAAGTAAGTATAATCAAAGTAGAACGTCTATAGTGCGAATATCGCCACTCGGAATTACTTCATAATTTTCGTACGTACATTAAGGCCATAGTCAAACAGCCATTGCTTTTTTTGCGTAACAAACTCTCAAAAACCAACGGGGTGAGTTGCAGCGGGGCAATTTCCGGCGTTGCTTGACGACTGACTTTTTGAGTAGGTATAACTGCTAGCAAGGGCGGCCTACGGCCGCGCTTGCCAAAGATATCCTGGCTGTGGGGAGAGTAACAAGGAGATCCGAGGAATATATTTTTATCCCTCTATTTTTATCCTTTATCTCTATCCGTATATTACATTTTAAAGAATTGAGTGGTGTGTGACTATACCATGTACGTAATATCTACTTGATCGCAGTTATTCCGCCCTTTGATGAGAACTCTTATATTGCGTTTCTCTCTGATCTTCTATACGTCTCAGAAAAAGTATGACGAAATAAATAGCAACATCCAAATTATGGAATTTCAGAAAATGAAGTACTCCCCAGCTGTAAATTTAGGAGACTTATGAAATTGTGGCTTTGCAGCAAAGCCTCATCAGTCACTATTGCAGTACTCTTCTAAAAGGATTATAACACCCTCCTTTAATCAAAAATAGAGTTACTAAACAAGCAAAAAGCATGATATTTTGAAATACACCTCGATGAGAAACAATCAATATGTACTCATTTACCGATAAACTTTATTATATTTTCCTACTCTCGGAGTCAGAATTTGAGCTGTTTCTCACTCACATTTTAACAAATCCAGTTGTACTCTGCGCAACTGTGCACTAAAATGTGGTAAACATCGTATGAGTATTTTTGCTTTTTTTTAATCTTCGCATTTTTCCGCTTACACGGGGTCTGCTGTACGAGTCAACTGTCTCTAGTATTCTCGATTTAAGGCATGATGTTCGTCTATCCTAAGCTCTTTCCGGTCAGCTCTGATTTTGTCCATCCACCTCATCTTTGGTCTTCCTCGTGGTCTTTTTCCTGCGACCTCCAGAGACATGGCCATTCTTATGAAGTGGTTCTCATCTCTTCTACTCACATGCCCGTACCATCGCAGTCGTTTTTCCTGCATTTTCTTAACCATGGGAGCAACTTTCATC